AATGAGTAAGAATACAATTTTCTTTAATTTTATTTTTGCCAACTATATTTTGATTTCATAAAGAAGTTGAACATTAATTTTTATAAAAGGACAACATTTTGCATAATGAAAAGACAATATAGGAGTACATATATAAATTCATCTTGAGATCAATTTAATTATACTGATCTCCTGTTGTATTTAATATGTTGACGTTTTTATCAAATATATTTGAATTATACAGAAAGGATGATGCAGAACTTATACAAGTAAATTGGTTGGAGGTAACTGGTTGCATCGATGATATTAATATAGCGAAAAAAACATCATATAATATTGAATTTACAATGTCATTGATGATTGATGCGTTCGGTTGGAGTGATTCACCAATTTATCTTATGGCTAAATGGGGAGATAATACTCAATGGAGAAAGGTGAATTTGGCAACTAAGACTAATGACAAAAAGATGATATCAGAAACTATTACTATAAAAAAAGGAAAAGGGAGCAATACTGATAAAATTTATTTTGGATTGTATGAAGTTTGGAACAAAAAGTGGAAAGGAGGTCTCAAAATTCATCCCATAAACCTAACTCAAGTGGAAAAACAATACTCGTAAGATTGAAACATGTGTCCTTGTAATTCCATAAATCAGAGTTCAAAAAAGGGATAGCTTAATTAATTATTTTTTATTTTGTTCATGTATTTTGGAGTGTTTCTTAAATTGATTTGTATTTTGTAATTTTGTATTTAATTTATATTTCTTACGTCATGAATATAATTATAATTTTCTTGCCACTTCACTCCTCCAGAATTTTGCGTACACTCCTCCCTTTTATATCAGCGAAAGCAAATAAATTTGTAACTTTGTGATAGCTGACAATATTATATATACGAAAATCGTTACAAGCTAATACAGTGAATGATTCAATACATTAACATGAAGTTAGAAAAAGTTGTAATTAAAAGAAAAAATAGTTTGGTTCACAAAATAGTAACATTTTTACATGATATGGGGCGGTTAGAGGAGTAACTTGAAACAATTATATTTGATGTTGTTGTGATGACTGATTTATATAGAATTGTTCTGATTTGCCACAACTTGTTCCTTATTAGTGAAAAATGACTCCCCAAATTAGTTTGTTAGAGTGAGTGTGACGAAATTGCATTATTCTCAATTATCATATAAGATTTAAGAGGAGCTTAGTTATAACTTTTCTTAACTATCGATTTTTTTTACATAAGCTAGGCAAAAATAATTTGTGTTTCGCATGGAATTGAACTATTTTACATAGCTTATATTTGATTATTCGGTAATATTTATATTTTTGATACATACATTACATTATCAAGAACATTTTATCTCAAGGGTAAAACGTGTAAGAATTATTATTAGGCGGATTGACCTGGGAGACCCTTGTACTTGATTCTATTTGTAAATTGAACACTTTTACTTATCAATTTGTCAACTGAATTCCTAAACTCATCAAAACACAATATATTAAACCCCTTTTACTATTGACCGAACTTATGTGTCATTGATAATGCTAAGTTGGAAATTTACGTGACAACACACGTTTGACAACAAGTGAAAAAGGTATTTTACACTAAAATATTTAAATATACTAATAACTATCAAATTATATTGAAAAAAAATAAAAACCAATCTTCCTCGACCATCCCTCTCCCACCCCACCCCCACCCCTCTCTCCTCCCCCCCTCAGCCCCCTTTCTCTCTTCTTTTTCTTGGAATTTCATCCACCACATGACCACTCTCACTCTTCATTCTCTCCTTCATCCATTTTCTTCTCAACCCACACTTTTTTTTTTCATTACAAATCAACCATTCACCCTAATCACTTAGTTTAAAAGTCTTTTAGATTTTAACTTTCTAGTCTAAAAGTATTAAGATTATTATTTATTTTTTAGGTTTCAAAAAAGAGATCTAAGGATTAACACAAAGGATAATGGTGGATATGGAATAATTAAAACTCCATGATAAGCTAGAGAAAGCTTGAAAATAACAAGTGTATGTTGTGAATTTGTGAAATTGATTCAAAATTGTGATTGAGATTTGTTGGATTTGTGGTAGTGAACTTGTATTTGAATTTTCAAGTCGAATGGAGAAAAATCTCATCTATTTGACATGAATTTAGTGTTCAATTTGGAATAAATATGAAGAACATGCTTATTTGGATAAATTTTTTTTAAAAAAATAATGCTCATCTAAAATTTCCAGAAATTAGAAAAGTGGTTTGATTTATTTTTTTAAAATTTTTAACTTGTAATTTCTTACATTTCATTAAAAATGACATGGAATCCCACATGTAAGCAAAGTACTTCACACACCCTAGTCAGATGAAAAACAGGCTTAAAATATTACGTTCTGACCAGTTCAGGGGTTCAATTTACAAATTGATAAGTAAGAGGGTCCAACTTACAAACGAAGTCAAGTACAGGGGTCTCTCAGGCCATTTCGCCTTATTATTAATTATTATTAATTATTTTTTTTATGACCCAAGTTTATTTGTAACCCAAGTAATACCATAAATAGTATTGAATAAGGAATATATCTCGTCCGTACATTGTTTACTTGATGTACGTACCAGATTAAATCATAACCTCTATAAATTGGTCCTCACTCTACCCATTAGGGTTATCACATATTCTCTAGAATAATTCCATCACCGACGGTATTGGTAATATAAAAGTTAGGGTAAGGAGGTAGAACCAATTTACGACTGACGCTTTCGCTTTTCTCTGTGATGATGTCTTCCTCATTAGTTATGTGCTCTTGACAATCTTTATGTAAGATTATCGTGTTCAAGATCTTGATATTATGCATAAAAAGTATTTAATCTTACATGTGGAATCAGAGTGTGGATTGTTTGAACGATAATCTTCATAAATTATATAATCACATCATCTCAAACCCAATGATGATTAACTTAGAGACCAGTCTAGTATTGATGTGATATTTGAATTAAAGCATTTAATTTGTTAGATTTGATTTTGTTGAGACCTTGCTTTTCACAAACCTTTCGTTCTTATAACAAGAAGCAGAATTCCTTGTTGTATTATGTTTATTTAAGAACGATGTATACACAATTACATTGATGAAACTTATTATCTCCCATGTGATTCATATGCGTAAAAGGAATAAAGAAATTTAAGTGACATACAACAATTGTTTTTATCTCTTACGTGTCTCATTTAACAAAAAAAATTGGCTTTGATATATTTAATTCAATTATATTAGAGAAATTAATCTTTACACATATAATATTTAGACAAAATGGTTTGATATGAACTCTTATACATGTATCAATTTGTATTCTAAACCCTTCTATTCACCCCCTTGTCATATGGACCCTTATACTCAATTAAAATGAGACTTTTAAGTCTTTTCAACATTGTTTGTAGCTCACTCTCCTTTATATATTGACATGACATATCCACGTCAGATATATTAATGTCATATCAAAACTATTTTCTTAAAATTATTAATCAAAATTATTTAATAAAATGTAAAATAATAACATTTTAATTTATTTTTGGTAATTTTTAAAGAGAATTTCCATACATCCAATTCTCTTAATTTTCACTATTTCACGCCCAAAATCGTCCGAAGAAAACTATTGCCGCCATCGTCGCCATTTTTTGTCGGTGAAATTACATATACTTTCTCCCTCACCCATCTTCATCTCAGCCGCATACCATCACTACTTTTCTTTCCTCTTTCAACTCCACAAAAATAACAACCTAAGCCACCACACCATCATATTTGGACGAAAAACCCCTTAACTGCCATGACTTTACTCTCACCCTGCTCGTTCTCCTCTCCACTAGCCTGTGTCACCTCTCTCTCACACCGATCTATTGCGAAACAGTGATGGCGTGCACCACTGCGCCGCTTCTCTCTCACGCCACCATTGTGATTCAGTGGTCTCCAGTGATCGTTGGTCCGCTTTCTCCCTCCATGTTAAATGAGTTGCCAAAATCTGCTCAACAATCAACTTTTAATTTCTATTTCTCCACAAGTAATTTCAAAAACAAAAATAAAGGTGTAGCTTTCTAAGAAGTAAGCAAAGGGAGCAATGGAATAGTAGCAAAAATAGGCTTATATGCTGATTGAACGAAAAGATCCATTCCACTATCCATCACTAATTTAATTATTATCATCCCAATAAATTGTGGAGAAAGAAAAAAAGAAGTTTGGTCACGACTCATGCGTTAAAATGGCCACGATGGAGGCGGTAGTGGCCACTGACAGTTATCTAAGAAGATCAATTAAATATCAATATTGAAAAAAATATATCTAGATAATTTGACTTTCACTATTTTTAGAACTTAAGAATTTACCAAAGGCGAATTCATCATTCTAAGAATAGTGAAAATTATGAAGTAAATTAATATTTTTAGTTAAATATATATTGTATATCTAAAGATATCGAATATGTTTGATTAAAAATACTCAATTATCTATTAAAAAGATAATTAATATATAATTAAAGCATAAAAAACGTATAGATGACAATGGAAATCAAAATGAAAAGACTCGAAATAGCAATGATATAAGTAATATTAAAAGAACTAATAAATCGGTGTTGTATGTCACATAACAAATTAAGTGCATCAACTTTTGCTTTCATGAACACGTTTTTATTAGTTATCAATGTGTTCTCTAGAATTATCATCTTTCAACTAATATTGTTCATTGAACAATATCTAATATTGTAAAGCAACTCCATATTCTTTTTTCTTTTTCGTTATTAAAAAACATCACCTTTAATGCAACTAATTTAATTTTGGTCAAATTTAACTTAGGCCA